TTCCTAAGAAGCTTCGTTGGTTTGATACATTAGGGAAAGCCTGCACTATTTTGGTAGCAGTGCAATAAAAAGACAAGAGCAGGAAAGAGCAGAAACCCCAGACAAATTAGTAGGCAATCTGATGAAAAAAATCATAATTAACTTCTGCAAGAACAAGAAGATGAATGAGCCAAAGGGGCAAAATTAAGCTTGAATGAAAAAAATCAATTGGACATTATGCAACAATGTCTTTATTAATGAGAGCTGAAAGGAGGCACTGAAGACGAGCCAAAGCAGAAATCCAATTTCCGCTTGCTCCTTCTTTTGGAGGCCGATCGATGTGAAGAAAGCAAAAGCAGAGGCAAACAAACCTAAAATCAAACCCGCAACCTCTGTTTTAACACCCGTAAGGACTGCAGGCTGGCAAGTCTCTAAGAGAAATTAGGTCATTGTCTAAGTAATTAGGGCACCGAAACATGGATAAAAAAGGGAATGTCTGTTGCTACTAGAACTTGGAAATGTGGTCGCAATGACCAGATAGGCAGGGTATAAATAAAATAAAATAACTTCCCCCAAAATCTCACTGCAAAATGGCTATATCTGAGTTCTCACTGTTATTGACCTTTGACTCCTTCAAAGGAGCCCGGATGCTTGGTCCAGAGATGCAGAAATCTGTTGGTTTCATTCCCTCCCTCACCCAATTTTTTAAAAACCCTGGTTTTCTGTTCCAAATAAGAAGACATTTGTGAATGTTGATAAATCCTTCGAAAACCACCTGTCCCTCATTTCTGCAGCCCAAATTCAATACATGCAGCTGTTTCTAGCAGGAGAATCAGCCCACACTTGCTTATCATACAGATGCTGAAGGCAAAAGCCACCTGTCCCTCACTTCTGCGGCCCAAATTCAATACATGCAGCCATTTCTAGCAGGAGGAGAATCAGCCCACACCTGCTTATCATACAGATGCTGAAGGCAAAAGGATTTGATTGGGTGCAGGAGGAGAAAAGGCTATGCTCCTAGTTTAGCATGGACCATGGTGTGAATATGAGGGGATACAAATGCAGACTCAAAGCACCCTGTCTGGAGAGGGGCACACATCTTTCTCTTTTCCCTCACTCTCTTATTAGTTAACTTTCCAATTTCTCCACCCTGCATGGACAACGTTGGGAATTTGCTTGCCGTGAAGGCAAAAATAAACAAGCAAAACTCACTGGTTCTTGCCCGGAATGGATACACCTTTCAACAAGTGATGGCTAGGGTTTGTTTTTTTTTCTGACAGGTATATCCAACTGGCCAAACAAGTGACAATCATGAGGTGAAATCTGCTAATTGCATTTGAACGAAACTGTTGTTTCCGAGCAATAGCTACTCCTTTAATGGCAAATAGCTGCTTTTTCTGAGAAGCCTGTGTGAGAACACTGCACAGAGGAGCAGGGGGGGGAAAATAACCTCTCCTTTTCCAAACCCACCATTACAGACTGCCTGGGCTTCCCTTGGAGTTGCCCCTTAAATAATTAAAAATATGTATATGTAATTGCGATTGCACAATTATTGTCCTGTCTAGTTTGGTCCAATATCTAGCAAGTGTGGGCTTTGGAGTGCTTTCTGCATTAGACTAACAAGATTCCTAGGAGTCATTCCAGAATAAACAGCTCTCCTAGAATGTATTCAGTTTTCTTGCAAAGAAATCCTGTAGGTTTTGTGGTCATTTTTCCCCCATGAAAGAAATGTCAAGCTTTGTTGTTGTTGAGTCGTTAAGCTGTGTCCGACTCTTCGTGACCCCAATGGACCAGAGCACGCCAGGCCCTCCTTTCTTCCACTGCCTCCCGGAGTTGGGTCAAAGTCATGTTGGTCGCTTGAAGGCATTACTACACAGCAGGGATGTTGGTAAGTCTTTGGGTCCAATTCCTAAGTCCCTATTAAAAACAAGCTTCTCCCCCCCCCCCAGAAAAAAGGAGGGGGGGGTAGGTTCCTAGTTGTGAGTCTAGTTGGAGTCATTGGGAGGGGGGAAGAAAACCAAGTCAAGGCACTGATGGAACTTAAGTCCAACTGATGGAACCACACACACAGAGAGACTCCTATCCCTGCCATGCAGCTTGCCCTCAACCCTTAAGCTCACCTGTTGCCTCCAGGTGTAGAGGAGCGTGTGAGCCCATCTCCATCCTTGAAGCCAGATTCAACCTGCCAGTCCAGGTGGATCCTGGGTACAAAAGGGGAAGGGGGGAACCTCCTCGTCCTTGGCCTCAGACAGCGACACATCGGATGCAGCGAGCGGCTAAGAGAATGACTCGCCTTCTTAGAAGGCTCGTTAGAAGAAGAGAGGGGCCACTTGGGAGCCTTCAATTATTATATTCATTTCTTGTTCTCCCGATGGTGCACATGGTTTCTCTGTCACTGGAAATTTATGGCACCCTCTAATACGTCTTTAGGTATGAGAAATGCTCAGGGAATGGCCTACCATTGCTCTTTCCCCACAAATGAGTTTCCACAGCCAAGAGGAAATTTGAACCCACCTCCCTGAGTCCTCGTCTGACACTCTGACCACTGCACCATAGCAGTTCTCCCTAATGCACAAACATTTAGGGACAACCTGCTCTTATCATAGTTGCCTTTGCTTAAATTTACATCCTGAAACTGAGAACAGAAAGTGTCCAGCAACACACACACACACACACACACACACAGAGAGACTCCCTTGGCACTATTTGGTTTAGATACTCAAAAGAACTTTGAAGGATTTGCATCTGATTCCTTTTAGACAGGCTTGATTTAAAAGTGGCTGTGCTTGTTAAAGGCAGGTGCAGATTAAGGACCTAAAATAACATCTGGATAAATATAGAACGAATGCAGAACACTCAAACTTTTGCAACAACCGACACACGGATTCTTATTTTCATCAACCCAATGTGTTGAAAAGGAAGGTAGGATGATATGAGCAAAGTAACATCCGTTTGTGATCAGTTTGATACATAACAGATGATGCTCGCCGCTTCCAAAGGCTGTCAGGAAAACAGGGTTCTCTTCATGCAGAGAAATCCATTTTTTTCTCATTTCTATTCTTTTATTCTGCCAACTACTTTTTACAACCGCAATGACAGACAGCAAATTTTGTTCCAAAATTCCACCTTCTTTTTTCAGTTCAGCCACCAAAGAAGTTCGCCTATATTTTTGCGGCAATTTTGCTATCAACCCACAACTCCTGGACCAGTTGTGTCTAGATTTAAAAAGCAAAACCCAACAGCAGAGTCTCACTTTCTTGTTGAGTTTCAGATGCATCTACTGATTCTGAGAAGGATGAATTTCAAACAGCGATCCTATTTACAGAGCCATTCCACCAATAAAACACTGCATTTTTATACAAATTTCACAGCAAAGATTGAGATTCTTGGATGGATCACATCACATACCCTTTTAAATGAAATGGACAGAGGGAAACCTGTGTATCTGGTGGAAACATAAAAGTGCCCCATTGATACAATGACCAACTATGTTTAGACTTCTGTTTTTCACAGAAAACTCTCCTGAGGAATAATTGCCTCTTTAAAAACTAGTATGGCTGGTAATAAAAATAGCAACATAAATAGGAAGAAACGGGCTTGTTATTTCCACCAGATCAGGTAAACCAAACTCTCAACAGTTCTAAGGCTTCCTCTCCCTGCTGTGTGAATTATCATGGGAACTGGAGTCAAAACGGTTCAGAACTGGGTGGCTTTCCAGGCTATATTCGAGTGGCGGCGAGGCTCCTGGGCTGCTGCAAAGGTGTTAGAGAGAGGGCAGAGGCGGAAAAACCTAAAGCCGAAGTACAGTGCAAAGTAGGAAGGAGGATGATGGCAAGCGTTGGGGAAGGAGAGAGGCTGAGCCTCTTTAGGTTCTGAAAATCTTGGCAGGTTTTTTTTTGGAGAGCCTGCAAATGGCAAAACTTGCTGGCCTCTACCGGCTCTCCGCCTGGGCTGCAAAGGAGGAACTTTCGCTGCTTTGGATTCAGGATTTCCTCTCCGGGAGGAGCCGCGTCAGGCGCACAGAAAGGATCCACCGGATCGCTCAAGGGGCCGCTGGTAGGTTCCCAGCGCTGTTCATTTTGATCCTGGAGAAGATTTTGCAGTTCGAGGCTTCCCTGAGTCGCCCGCCGGCCAAGTCTTTCTTTTGAGATTGCCAACTCCCCCCCACCCGAAAAGCGCTTCTGCTTTGAAACAAAAGTGCCTGCGAGGCAATCCTTTCGTGACGAAGCGCTGCCTTTCTGAAAGGTTAAAGCGGCGGGGTTTTGAGATCGAATCCGGCCACCCCTAACTGGACAGTAGGTGGGTTTTGAAAGCACCGGAGCCCTGGCCGGGGGGGGGGAAGCTGATAACCGCTCCCCTCACGCGTCTCCATTCAACGGGGCAGGAGAGACACTCTGCACTAGCTCAGGGGACTCAGGTCGGTCCCACAAGAAAGCCTTGGATCTGGGCGCAAATCTTCTGAAGTAGGGTCTTAAATTCACCCGATGCCAGCCCTGCCTTGATGGGGTGCAAAAATTCAGCCGGTGCACCCCTTCTGTTCCCGGGAAAAGCCGCCTTGAGCAAGAGCGCGACGCAGCCCTCCCGCGCTTCTCGTGCCCCCACCTGGCGATAGACTGCTCCCGCGCCCGGAGGCTCGACTGCCGTCTCGTGCCGGAGCTGCCTTGGCCGGGAAAGATGGAGGCCGTAGCCCCGGGATTCCCCAGCCCGCCCCACCCTACGCGCTTGCCAACCACGCTTTTGCCAC